TGAAGCTATACGATGACCGATATAGACACGAATTCATTTTCAGAAATGTCCCAAACATGGGGCTCAATTATAAATTCATTTTAGCGAATCACGTAACGAATTCTGGAAAGAATAAAACCTCGGTGGCGCCCAGAGATGAAAGATATCTTAACTTTTTAGCGTATTTTGGTGAGATGTTAAAAACTCCAGACGCCACGTTATTGGGAATTACCCCCTTCGAGTAAGTACTTGCAGCATCAGCTATTCATAAATATCATTATAGTATGCATGGAGGCTGGTGACGTCATATTGCGTATTTTTCGAGCACTGTTTATTTTACTTCAGATCAAATGTAATAGGTTTTAAATCTAATAAGATCTTTGGAAGTATTCTGTTAAGATTCTTCTTCGATTCGTACTTTCTTAGTACTTAACTGCCTTAATTAAGAAAATAATATAAAACGACTTTTACTTATCAGTATCAGCACCGTTCGTTACATAGATCTGCAGACTGGTGACTAACAAGATAATGGTCCCTCCCGGAATCGAATGTGATTCACACTAATCGGCTCAGCGCGAATAATTAGTGTCATGTTTTGGTTGTGGTCAGTCGTCGAAAATATATGACGTCATTAACCAACCTAAAAAATAACTTTACGCAGATCTAAAGGCAAGAAGTCTTGTTTATGTTGCACGAAATCTATTTCTATTTATAAATAACGCCATGCTTTTTGTTTCAGGGTGAAATTGAGCGACCTACATATCGGATTGAATATAAAAATCACAAATGAAGCCGTGACGAAAGTTATAAATGGCAAAATAATAGCGCTGTGTCAACTGACGACACACGATAACAGTGGCAAGGTGTTTACCCTCCGAGATAAACCGCTCGTCTGCCACGGACATGGTATGTTCGCTTTATCTTTGCATAATGTATTATTCATAATTTAAAGATTAATCTGAATTAAATCATGAGTCGTCGATGAACATTAAAGAACATCCGCCCTACCCTTGATAACTTCTATGTATAAACATGAAAGTACAACATCAACATTATCTCTGCTGTTTGTGAAAAGTTAAACAAAAGTAGCCCTTATGGTTTTAAGCGTGACCTTTGATATGACGTATTTAGCACCTGTCCATAGCAAAAAAGAAGACTATCGTTAATTAGTCCTTTGTAAAATACAAGTCCCCTTTTGAATGACATTGAAATATTACTATTTGTGATGTCACAGATGAATCATACTCGTTTTGCCTACAGATAACCAACGTAACAGGCTTCCTCTAATGATGTCATCTATTAAAATGCAACAAGTGACCCATAAAATATTTCATTGATATAAGTTTTACATTCAACCTATTGATATTATCAAAATTATATTCATTGTTTGATATAAAAAGGATATTAATGTTATCAATGTCTCAGGGTCAAACAAAAACAAAGTGTTAATACATGCAAACAACTAGGTGACAGGCATTTTACCGTTAGTCGTTTCATGTGATCTTCCCAGAATTTATGTTGAATGCTAAAAGAAACTGTTGGGTAGTGTCGCAATGTGTTATCAATAAAATTGCTGCAATAAATACCTGATTAAATTTTGATAATGGTTATGGTTTCACTGTGGAATTTTTTACTTTTTAGGTCTTATAAGAGGCATCGACTTAGAAAAAGAAATGCTGTATGTACTGACACCAACTCCTATGGAAAAACTGGCTGTAGTGGATACTTTGGTGTATGCAGATTGGGTGCCAGAGCTAAGAGGTCAGGAAAAGCACCTGCCTGATGGAACTACTGTTCCATACCGAACAGATACCACATTCAAACAGAGGCAACTTATGTTTGCACCCAAACGGAGGTTCAATCCATTACAACTGCTGAAGATGTCAAGGAATTCCTAAATTGAAACGGTCAATGATTAGTTAATAAATTTGTAATTGGAATAGATCCAAAATATCTTAAATTATAAAAGGAAGTCTAATAATTATTTTATGTTAATCCATGTATATTTGAAAGATAATTTTGTACTTACAATACTAATAAAACATAACATAGATGATTGATTTTAACTTAAATATTTCCCCATCCTAAACACCTTTGATTTATAAATGCTGTATTAAAATTTTATAAAAGTCAAAAAGAGTCTAGAAAAGAATTGTTAAAACATGGGGTTCCTTTATTACTAATAAATTATATTATATCATGCAATATGGGAAGTTAAATTTCACACAAACAATAGATTACAATAAAACTGCCCTACAGAATCGTGATCAGTATCAGATGGACGTCTCAGAGACGCGTCTAGCTGACAGGCACTTAGCTGAGAATTGGGGCTCGCGCTCCATGTCAAATAAACATCACCTACACAATTTATACATAACTATTTTATTGAAAAAATTAAAATACAAAATACGAAACTAAACAAGTCTCAGGGAGACGACACTGGTCGAGGAATAATCTTTATATTGAAGAAATGCTAATCGGTTATATAACATGATAGTATAGCACGAAAATTCAGGTGGGCCCGCAGGTGAGGGGCCCACGCTCGCCCCCGACCATATTAGTTAAGGCATTTACGCTTACCCTTTATAGATATAATCTATAAAATATACAAGTACCAATTGTGAAAGTGTAACCACACGAATACTGCAATATAGTGGGTGTGCGTGCAACGCGCGCCGCGACGTCGCTGCAGCTGTCAGTATCGGGAGGAAGCACTGGCCGACGTCGCGACTGCTGCAGTCCGAGTCGTTACAAACTTAAGTTTTCAGGCAGTATGCGAACGATTCATAAATCAGAGTTCTCCCAACAACGGCACAATTACAGCAGAGAACACCTGGTCTTCTTCTTCTTCTTGACCTGTAGCGCGGCGCGGGTGGCCGTCTCGAACACCTCGCGCACGCCCTCCTTGCTCTTGGCGGAGCACTCGAGGTAGGCGAAGGCGTTGATCTTCTCCGCCATGGCGCGGCCCTCCTGGGGCTTCACGGGCTCCTGCTTCATCTTGCGGAGCTCGTTGATTGTGGCCGGGTCGTTGCGCAAATCCTTTTTGTTCCCCACTAGGATGATGGGCACGTTCGGGCAGAAGTGTTTCACCTCGGGCGTCCACTTCTCCGGGATGTTCTCGAGCGAGTCGGGCGAGTCCACCGAGAAGCACATGAGGATCACGTCGGTGTCCGGGTACGACAGCGGCCGCAGCCGGTCGTAGTCCTCCTGCCCGGCCGTGTCCCACAGTGCCAGCTCCACTTGTTTGCCATCCACTTCTATGTCGGCGACGTAATTCTCAAACACTGTCGGCACGTACACTTCCGGAAACTGATCCTTACTGAACACGATTAGGAGACATGTTTTACCACACGCACCGTCACCGACGATTACTAATTTTTTGCGTATCGCAGCCATCGGTCCTGTGAACAATACAACGCAAATAATTACGATGGTGTCGAGCGTCAACGCCTTTCATGACTTATAAATATGGCCGCCGTATAGGAATATGGGTAGGGAGTAGTCAGACAAGCCCTCAATGTGAATAAGCACCTGAACTAGCGGAAGAAGAACAGCACCACCACATAGTACCCTCACATGCGAGGGTGTTATTTATTATATTTTGTAGATACCTGAAGATTCTGGCTAATTTCTGCGGAATATTGGCTTATCGACACTTTTTTATTCGTCTTTGCTCATCACAAGCACTTTCGTTCATAAAATCAGACAGTGTTGCAGGGTTTAAAAAGTTGTCCAAGTGGTGACGAATCAAAGATTATTTTAGTGTGATCCAGTAAATAAATTTTAAGTTTATAATATAGAATTTAATGTTTTGTAACTTTAAAAGTACTTCTTACCTTAATGTTTTTGGGAAAATACCGTCAAAAATCAATTCTAGACAACTAAAAAGGATACCATTTTAAAAAAATATTTTGACATTTCTCTCCACCCGTTCGGATACACTTCAAAAATAAGTTGGAAGGAATTTTTATGATATTTTCAAGTCCCTCCAAGTTTTTAGCGAAATCAGGTAAAATATAATATTAAACTAATTTTGCAACAATGGTTACAGTGTATAATTTATTATTTCCAGTCAACCAAAATCTGCAGTAAAAATAATTTGGTATGCATGACGGCTCCATTATAAATTAAATACGCCTATTCGATGATCAATGCTATTAGAGAATCGTCAGGCGCTCCACTATACATTCCGCAGGTGGGTGGGTGGGTCTCGGCTAGGCGGCTTCGAATACAGAGCAAGCTTCGGTGTTATTGTATTGTCTGACCGGCATATTGTCCTTTAATCCTATATGCAGATTCTGTATTAAACTTAGATACAAAATGGTCTCAAGCACAATCAGCATCTTATAAAATTTGTAGTAAGGGGTCTATTTCATAGATTATTTAATGCGGAGACGAGGTATTGGGGAGTAACCTCCCCGTTGAATAGCTTGAGGTCTTGGTGACCTGTGATTTTTATTGTACATTGGTCATATAACTAAGATGCTGTCCAGTAGGCTCAGTTAGAGCACCCTCTGGCTGGCAACACATCAATCGTCATGCCTCGAACTGATTCCTCTAGAACGAAAATGACAATGGATTTTGCCGGATGTTTCCTTGTACCTCAGACTCGAGCCTTGAACTAGACCGAGAATCGAACCCGGGACCTCTTGCTTGCATAACTTCCACGAAAGAGTAAATAATCTAATAACATGAAGTAAACTATGCTTACATTGCACAACTCGTGTATAATCTTTAGTCATTCTTACATCCACAATATAGGCATTAGGCGTAAATAAATAAAAGAAGTTTTCTAAAATGTATAACTTTATTTTATAAAAACACTAAATTGTCCCCCTTAATACAATTCAACCCTTAAAAGTAAAATAGGAGTTCAACCTATTTACATTTTAAATATATCAAACAATTCTATAAACAAGCTATACAACTATGATTTGTTTTAAAATGGTTTTCATAATATTAAATTTCATCACAAATAAAATATTAATTACAATGCATTATCGTTTCTTTTTTGTTAAATACAAACATTTAGATAATAAATAAATAGGAATAACTTTATTATCCTCCATTGTTTTTCGTGACTTCAATTCTTTCCGATGAGCAGATTTATTTTTTAATTTGAACTAGACGGTACTTTGTCGATTTTACAAGGAGAAAAATATAAGAATAAAAAATATTATAAAATATGTTATAAAAAGAAATAATAACTTGCAGTGTGTAAAATATAATATTGTGCAAGAATTGTGTGATACCATGTAATTTGAAAATAATGCGATTTATATTTTATTCGTTTATTTTAATAATTAGGACCACCGATTTCCAAAGACAGCCCTGTATATCACAAAGTTAAATTAATTATAAAATTATTATTATAATCAAATCAGTGCTCAAAAATATAGAATGAGCTTAAGTTTCTAGCTGGTCTACATACAATTATATTAAACTTAAAACCACAAAAAAATAAATGCATAAAGAAATGTATAAAAACTCAGGTAAATATGAAAATATAGCACTTTTTAGAGAACAATAAACAATTTTTCACGATTTTGTTAATATGATAACAACATAGAGAACTTTTTCCAAAACATTAAGGCACCTATAAATACTTAACAATATTTTATCATTTTGATTCGGCCGATTCTTCACAATTCTTCTGATGTAGCCTGTAAAAAAAGCAAATTGTTAAATGTTAAATAACACGAATTTCTAAATGAGTTTACAGTCGTAACCAAACGGTTACGAAATTAAATCGGTCAGTAATATTAACTTCTTAGAGGCTGTGTTTAGCACCGTATTTATGACTATAATCTTGCTACATCGACTAAAATCTGGTCTGTGAGCACGTAGAATTATGTCCAATGACCCCAAGCTACCCATCCCTATCGCTCGCGTGTAATTATGTTGCTGTCGCGCTCGCACACTCACTGCGGACGCCCGTCGCACTGTCGCGACAGCAATATAATTACGCGCGAGCGATAAGGATGGGTAGCTTGGGGTCATTGGACAAAATTCTACGTGCTTACAGACCGGGCTTTAGGTACTACCTACACATCATGTTGACAACTACCCACTACTAATCAATAGGTAGATGGCGTCATATTTTTCCGATCTTTCAAAACCAGTTTCTTTGCTATTACCTGAGACTAGCGGAGTATTATTTATTATCTGAGATTAGGGGTGGAGTTTCGTAAAATCCGTTCTTAGTGAGCACCTACGTTCTAAAAGGAACCCCCATGCAAAATTTGAGACTCCTAGCACGTGTAGTTTCTGAGTTTTCGTGATGAGTGAGTGAGTCAGTCAACCTTTCGCTTCAACATCCCTACAGGTACCTAGTATTCTGTGTTGTGAGGTACTATGTGACTTAAAATTTTTCTAATCCTCCATTTTTGCAACATATTGGTCAATAGATTATTCGGCATGATTTTATACTGTAACTCAGTTTATCTTGTGAGTGTGAGTGTGATAGTAGAATAACATTATACATTTGTATGTTTTTTGTCTATGACTCCAGGTCATAGACAAAAACTCGTTAAAGAGAGAAAATTATTTCCAATAAGCATGGTTAAAAGTGAGCACTTTATACAATTGAAGTTAAAAATTTCTTGACCATAGCTGTAAGCAGCGAAATCTCAAAATATTTATAATATCCTAGTAACAATATTTGCTATGAACTTTTCTGCTAATGTCTGTCTTTTGTATGTCTAAAATGCTGGAATTTTAATATGCAGTTGATAGTTATTTGGCCATCTACCACAGCTTTTAAAATATTAAAAGTTTTATGTATTTTAAAGCAAATTCAAATAGAATCTGGTAATGTTCTGTGACTTTTTTATTTCATGAAAAATGGCTTTAACGATGGAAAGAATTTGGTTTAATTAATAAAACAACAGGATTAATTTTAACAAATGTATAATTTTTAAGATATTCATATTAAGCTTTGTTACATTTACTTAGATATTAAACTAAAATCTTAGCTACTACAAATTCCAATCATGTAATGCTTTAAAATACGTTTGTGATTAGAAAATTTTAGGGAGTTAGGTAATGTAGTTATTTTGGAAAATAAGCTTACATTTACAAGGTGACATAATCTATCTACTTTAAAATTACAGTAATATTAATATAGCAACATTTGAGCTACTAGCAGATAAAAGGTTACCAGTGGAAAAAATCCTATTCACAGGTAAATGTAAATGTCAGTGTGTAATGCTTTATTATTGTTTGCATTTAAGTAAGTAACACGTAAGTGTTTTTGGTCGTGCTACTCGTATTTTGTAATATTGTTGATAATTATCAGATCAAATAATTATATAAATATACCTATTTTCGGTAACTTTTTTTACATTTATGGCCAGACACAAATGCTTCGTTGAGAACATGAAAATAAATAAATAAATACCTATAGTCGCTAACTTACATTTTATGGCCAGTAACAAATGCACCATAGACAATATGAAAATAAATAAAGGCCTATCGTCGCTATTTTTTTGTGGCCAGATATAAATGCAACCAAAGAGTACGAGGTTTTACTTCTTTACCTTAGTCCAATAGAATATTCCGTAGCCCAGTCCGGCGCCGAGTGCGAAAGTCAGCAGGTACGGTAGACACTTAAGCGAGGGCCCGTGCATGGGCTTCATCATGCTGGTGATGAACTTAAGGTTGCCTTCCGTGTATGGAGGGTACCGGCCCCTGGAATTGGGAAAATAAGTCTTAATTTATGATATCAAATCGGTGTATTGTATAACAGATGTGAGCTGTAATTGGGTAGTAGACAGTTGACATCATTAATCAATAATTTCCAGACAAAACTTCTTGCAAACACCACAATCTCGCGACAATATCTAATTAGATTGTGTGGTAAAAGAACCTATCCTCACTCCGGTGTGTCAGAGGAAGGATTCTACTAGTGATGGGCCGACTATGGTCTTTGCNCTAGTCGGCGACTAGTCGGCCCATCTCTAGATTCTACCGATGTGACTTGCGGTCACCACACTCTTAGAAGGATTTTTATTTAAAACATCAATAAATCGTTTATAGAATAGAGTCAGCGTTTCTCAAACTTATGTGTTTGACTCCCTACTTCCTCTGTTGTGTAAAATGAAAATGCTTATGGGTCCTGTGGAACTCAATCTTACGTTGCTGTAACCCAGAATAGTACTAATAGTACTACGAGTATATTACTAAAGTACAGTATTTTATTGTTGCAATTCTCATATCTCTGGAAGATCATCAAGAATTTTGATACGTAAGTATATAATCTTGTTAAGATTACTTACGAAGCAAGTTTCTCTCCGATGGCAGCGAAGTTCTTGATCAAGCAGCTCTTTTTGTGCGTGAATGTGTCAAAAGTTTTTTTGCCGTGGTACGCGCCGATACCACTGTTGCCCACGCCACCAAATGGCAGCGTCTCCACTGAAATAATACAATTTATTTAATAAAACATGCTACATATTAGAAGATAAGAGTTAAAATACATTCATAGGTAATAGTAAAATGTTTTCTTTGTTAAAAATAGGAAGACGACAAAGAAATTGGTGAAAACAAGTTCACAGACAACAGACAGTACAGAAGTCATGGAAACATGTTTTTTTTACGAATTATAAGTAATATTATACTTAAAAAAATAGACAAAATGTCATGCTACATGCACCTTATGTAAATGTATAGAAGAAAATTAGGCATACATGGCAGGCAGCTTGTGCATGATAGATTGCATAATTAAAGGAGGCTGCAGTTGTTAAACATTGTTAAGCAGCTAATTTTAAAAACAGAGAGGCGAACAAATTGCGAATGTGCTAAATAGTGAGACTATTTCGACAAAATTCTGAAGAGACGCTTGCTTAATATACTTAATCTTACCATTCACTACCACAATTGTTAAGCAATTAAGTCGCTTGAATCTCGTACATCTATGCTCACTAAAGTGGGACTTTGAAAAACGTAAAGTGTGCGAGCCAAGCCAACCTGTCTTTTGCGTCCGTTAACAGCTGTTGCGGCCAAGTTTCACGTTTCGTAGGTCTGCGCTGACTAAAGGGGAACTTAGACAAAGTTTCAAGCAATAGTGTGTGCGAGCCTACCTCCCATGTCCATTACGTCGTCGTTGACACCTGTTGCGGCCAAGTTACCAGCCCTTGGTGTCCAGTGACGAGACCGGCCGGTTACTCGTCTTTCATTAGTCTATGTTGACTAGAAGGGAGAATAATTTTGTGTCCAAGCTATAAATCGTTTCTTCCACGAAGACGCCCCACCATTCTTCCGCTAATGTTTGAGTGTTATCGGTACACGCAAATTTATCCATGAGTGCACATGCACACTACAATAATGACGTTTGGAGCAAACTTCTCGCACCCCGCGCTTCCCTCGACCAAAAATTGGTGGGGCGCGCTTACGTGGATGAAATGATCGAGGATAGCAAACGTAAAGTGTGTGCGAGCCAACCTCCCATGTGCATCATGGTGTCGTTGACGCAGACGCCGCCGCTGCTGGTGTTGCTTGTGAGGCTGGAGACCACGCTACGAGAAAATGTCCTAACAAATGTAAAGAGTGTGCGAGCAACCTTCCATGTGCATCATAGTGTCATTGACAGTTGCAGTCAAATCCCCCGTCGCTCATTGGTCAGTTCTGAGAGGTGAAGGATTTTGACAAATGTAAAGCGAGTGTGAGCCACCCTTCCATGTCCATTACGTCGTCGTTGACTCCTGTTGCGGCCTAGTTACCAGTCCTTGGTGACCAGTGGCGAGACCGGCCGGTTACTCGTCTCTCGTTGGTCTGAGCTCACTAGAGGGGGGAATAATTTTGTGTCCAAGCTAATAGCAAACGTAAAGTGTGTGCGAGCCAACCTCCCATGTGCATCATGGTGTCGTTGACGCAGACGCCGCCGCTGCTGGTGTTGCTTGTGAGGCTGGAGACCACGCCCATGTTTTTCGCGAAGACATACAGCACTAGCGGCTTCTCTCTACAAAGCCGGACACCCCCACCACCGATTAGTTATACATAATTGAGATGCAGTTGCAGAAAGTGTTGGGAAGAATTGGAGATAAACAAAGCTTATTATTTACATGTTTACAGTAATGTCTTGAAAATTATGTAGATTCTTGAAGATATAATTCAGTGATTAATGTATCAATTCTATTCTTCAATATGTATTTAGGCCTTGCCCTTTATCGACATTTTTAAGTAATTTATACATCATTATGAATGTCGATGACATGTCGGTAGTTTCTGACAATTACTGTTATAAACATTTCTGCTCTGAGTCTAACAGACAGAGTTTATTTAATTAGTGAACTACGATTAAAAATTAATGTTAAACTAGAACTAAATATGTCAAGTAGAAACCATCACCAATACCACTGACCACCATACCCAACCATACCATAACCAACACCGTACCCATTAAGTAGAAATTCGAAGCTTATTGAAGGAAATAAAATGTGAATTAACCTAACCTTATAATGACCCTGCCCCATGGACTCTTTTTTGCAAAAACATTCAGTCGAAATAAACATTGTTTTGTGGACGACTTATTTCATACTTTATTATTTTTCAAGTTGTCAAATGTAAGTAAAGATTTAGCTTAGATAGTTTCATTTATTTTATTGCCTTCTAGACAGAATTCTATTAACTTCAACAACAATTCTTTTATCAAATTATATTTAAAGCCGTGGGGTTGGGACCCCATCGTTTGAGAATCGCTGACCTTATAAACAGATCATAAAGTCTGTTATAGATTGTATACTACAAGTGCTATAATGGCTAGAACTCTATGGTTAAATCTTTATTAAAAATATGTAATAACATTGACTTAACTTTGTTTACTTTCTTGTAATGTTTATCAAGACTGTAATGCGATTGCAAAGGAGTCGAATGATGATGTTGGAAACCTTACCGCCGTAAAACATAATAGTGTCGTTTATACCGACACTGCCTGAGCGGGTCTGTTCGGTAAACAGCTTTTGTATGCTGCGCTGTTTGCTGAACAGGTATAGCACTAATGGCAGTGGCCTGAAATGTCACGTTCACATAAAATCTGATAGCCTATAAGTACTTTATGCTTTTAGGACGCTGTTAGGACTGCCTCGGTATTGCAGTGCGTCGGAAATGTTTGCGCAAGCCCGTACGGACGGTTTTCAAGCTATAATACGCAAGAAAATAGCTTCTCTGCTAATAAGAGTGAGAGATAGTCACAACAGCATTCTAAAAACAGTAGCGGAGAGCTACAACTCTCCGATTATTATTAAAATTTTCCAAACTTAATTGTTTACTAACCCTAAGTAGTTTATAAGTAATGTACGTATTAATTGTAACTGTTACTAACACAAATATAGATTATTCTGGTCCGAAATAAATAAAATTTATTTATTTATACAATACAGTTATCGGGACTATTCCCACCTCTCGTTCCCACCGCTCCAACTCCTGTGTAGCCAGGATCTACAGCTTGACCACCATAAAAACCCAACCAATGAAGGTCAAGTTTGTCCCGGGGGAAAGTGAAACTGTTATTGGACCCGCAACGAAATTAATATAATCAGAAGAACATAGGAGTTCGAAATTAAGGTTCGACTTCCCTCTATTGCAAGGGATGACAGGTGACAAACAAAGGTTTAATAACCTTTAAGAAAATACATACAATACAGTTAACAGCCCATAATTTTTGTGGGAAGATAGCCTGTATTACAACGAGGTAATATGCCACCACGCGTGAAACGTCCACCCGAAAGGTCGACCGACGACCTCATAAAGGTAGCAGGCAGGAAGGCGCTGGATACAGGTCGCTACCAACCCAGCGATGTGGAAATCATTGGGAGGCCTACGTTCAGCAGTGAACGACCTGTGGCTGAAATGATAATGATGCTGATGGTGAAGACGCCACTAGGTGGACCGACGATCTGATGACTGGTCGTTGTGGAAATCCTTGGGGATGCCTTTGTCGAGCAGTGGACGTTATTTGGACGAAACGAACGAAGATCCCACTGTTTAACTCTCATATTAAGTTGTCGTCCGTACATTCAACAGCCATTTCCGTTGAAAAATCACCCTTATCATAACTACAGAAGACGCCATAGTATTTAGCTTGATGTACCGTCATCTTTACATGATAATGGTGACGGAATGTTGAAAGAATCTCAAGGATTTACTCAAAAAACCTTGTGACAAATTTCTCAAACGATACATTACTAAAAGTCACACTAAATTGATTCCTTAATAGTTCCCTTAAAAGAGATGTTCATCTGTAAAAACTATTTGAAATAAAATTACATGTTGTTACCGACAAGAAAAAAGTTTTTAACTGATTTTTTTGTAGAAAAATACCTTAACAGTAGTAGTTATAGAGGTGAAAACGGCCTGTACACGTTTATGTTTCATTTACAGTACTATGTATGTAAATGAAGGTCACGACTGATGTTAACTTCAGACACTAATTTAAATACTCATTCACATTGAAGGTATTTGTTTAAAATGCGCTCTTATGTGTATGTATGAAAATAATTTACAATTTCTGTAGAAGCAACTTTATTGTTTTGGCTAAGTGTAAAAAAATATTGGCCATGTTTCAAATAATATCTTGCCCTATATCAAGGCAATAGATCAGCTGGTATTGTGATGTACCAATGCAGTGTCAGCCTTATTGACCGAGACTACATTTAATTGGAAAAATGCCTTTGCCTATTCCATAAAAAAAAACAAAAAGTTGCCAGTTTTGTAAAAATTGTTAGTTGTGGATAAAAAAAAAGAAAAAAACAAAGTCCTTCACGTATGCTAATTGCCAATAGTAATAAATTAATATTTATTTTTAATTTACACAAAACCAAGATGAAGTAAGCAAAATAAACCCAATGACTTTAAAACACAATAAAAAAATTCACCCAATGGTTGGACGCAACATGAACGCAAAAAAACAATAGCAAAAGTTTGACAAACACTTTTTTGTACGTAACATTTGCGTTGCAACATTACGTTTTATGTGTATGTTGATGATGATTAAAATATTAATATAAATGTATCTTTTGCGTATCAAATATCTCATTAAGTATACCCCTTTTCATGGATGCCCTTTTCAAACAATGTATAGTCGGCAAAAAGTCTCTTCATTGCCGATCAGATATTAATATGTAAAAAGTTAGATGAGCCACTATTTAGAGTGAAACCAAGATTTTTTATTTAAAAAACTGACATGTCATCTTAAGAACATAAAAACAAGGTGTAGGAGAAAAGATGACAGAAATTCAACAGCAAAATGCAGACGTCTATTGTAAACTAGTGAATTTTTACGGAAAAGTCATGACCATCAGCTTGAAAAGTTTCCTTTTAGTAATTTTCGTAATTAAAAATACAGAGCGCCTTTTTTTTGCTTGGTAGGTATGCCGTGTTCCGTACTTTGAAGAATAATAACGTTCTGTTTTATATTATTGGGTTCACTGTTGAATTTTCCATCTTATCCCACCTTATAATAACTTCAAAAGGCTCATCTAACCGCGAAAAATGTTTGCAAAACTCAGCACACTTTCAAATCTTACCTTTCGTTGATGAATTTGATGGCCTCATACGCGTCAGCCACCGGGACAATGGGCAGAAGTGGCCCAAATATTTCGTCCTCCATGATCTTGTCAGAGGGAGACACATTGGCCAGGATGGTCGGTTCAATGAACTTGTCTTTGGCGTCGTAGTTGCCACCGACAACTACTTTGCTTTTGTTCGCGTCGAGGACCGCTTGGATTCGACTGGAAGGGAATAAGGTTCATTTTGTTTTTTTTCTTATGATATTTTATAATTTATTGTGACACAAAATAATTATAAATTGACTAAACTTTCAAAATCTACTTAATTAAAATTCCGCAAGAAGTTATTTAGCAATGTTTACAGACAATGTTTTTAGTGACGTGTTCTGTTTAGTTCTTTTACAAGAAGGCTGCGTTAGAGCGCTTGTAGACGTCCGTTTTTTCACCGGACGACGGACCGTCAGAAAACGGATATCCTTTGTTTGCTGTCAATTTTCTCGCCGGACCTATGTCCGATGCATGTGCACACGTTCATTATAAACCATACGCCACCGCTAAATCCGGTGAAAAAATCGGGCCGTTGTCCGGTCAAAAAAACGGACGTCTACAAGCGGCCTTAAGGTCATTCATGCAACACTATGCATATTTTTCACGCTATATGTTGTTTATGCACTTCAAAAATGTTGCTGTTTACGTCATCATGTTAAACTAAAACACAATTTAAAAAGAAAATAGTCTCCTTTTTTGCCATTCCTGGCTGGATACACCAATTCTATGACCCATCTTGTAACCTTTGTTCCTCTGTCATCATGATTCAAGTGTAGTACTCGTACATAATGTGACTTGCAGTATTTGATATCGAATCGAACCTAATTAATATCTATTTTATTGTAAAGCATGACATTCAAACGCTGTAATTTATTATTGTTCTTTTGTACTTACAAAATTTTTTTTCAATATTTGCATGACTAATTAGTCATTTAACTCAATGAGGGTTTTCGCGAATGAAAGATCCGCTAGATGGCGGGACGTGGATGTGGGGTCTGACTGCTGCGTGATTGGTGGATTTTGACATGTCTGTCAATGTCATGTCAAAAATAACCAATCATGCAGCATTTGGACCTCGCGTCTACGTATTGCCATCTGGCGGATTTTTCATTCGCGAAAACCCTCATTGAGTCAACATGTGTTGTGGATATGCCAATTGTAATAATAATATCTTGTAAAAACAAATAAATATTTCTGAATTCTGATCGTCAGGGCAGAGTGCACAGTGCGTCATCACCACGAATTTGTTTGCCCGTACAGAAATAGAATTTAATCACACCAACGCCGCATAAACAGGTTATGGGATTTCGAAATCGTTGCATTTGTATGTTATTTTTGTCTTTTTATGATAATCATAACACGAAGGTTCTAGAAAAGTACCTGTCTTTGAAGTGAGAAACATTGTATCAATCTTAATAGCTTGTTTTCTTGGACACCTAAAGATTTTTCATTTGTAATGCTATTAATTTTACGATAGCAGAGCTACTTTCTTTTTGGCTCCTGTCTGTGTTTTGTCTAATAAACAAATGCAGTGTACGCTGACGCTACATCTTAATAATGCTTCCATGATGCTCGTATAAGCAAAGGCCAGACCCAAAAACAGCGTATAAGTATAAGCCTACTGGCCCGTTCATCTTGCTTCATAAGTTCATATACTTATCTAGGAGGCTTATCTTACAGATAGCGTAATCCGTGCCACTGTGATTAATTTTAATGTCAACATAATTTTTCCATCAGACATTTGTATAGCAACAACATAAAAGGATACCTATATTTTGATTTACATTTCAGTGCCCGCCTAGACAAGTGGCAAAACGTTTCGGAATGCCTTCGCTTCGCTCTGGCGTTTTGCCACTAGGGAGGCTGTAGCTAAATTCAACAAAAAAGAGTTCTTTTTTGATTGATTAAAAATAAGGTCTATACCAAAAACATAAAAGGCCAAACATTTTAAGTTATGAAGCGTAAAATCTCACCTAAAATGCCTGTTGTTGATGATGCGGCAAAGGTCCGGCGACTTCTGAGGGTCCTCACCGTACCAGGACTTCAGGACCTTCTTGGAGGCTTCCACAAACTTGTCCTGGATCTCTTTGCTGCAGAGGATATAGTCTGGCGCGATGCATGTCTGGCCCATGTTGATGAACTTGCCCCAAAGTATACGCTTGGCAGTCACTTCCAAGTCGGCTGAGCTATCTATGTATACAGGGCTGTGGAAGAAAAGAAAAATTAAGAGGCTGCAATGTACTGGCCAATATAAAAGCCACATCCAAATAGGTTCACTATTTTAAGAGCTAGGGGCCTTGAAACAGTTGAACTGATTTTGATAAACGTAACTAAGAATCATCGCTAGAAAAACTTTAAAAAAATCACATACACATCGGTTCATCCGTTTAAGAGCTAAGCTCGTAGACAGACATAATATAGCATCTAAATTAAAAAACCCTCTTTTTGCGTCGGGGGTCAAAATAAGTAATGTCCAAAGCATCAAGAATTTGTACAGTCGTGATACACAAAGTGGCCAAAAAGTTGATAACACAATCTTAATAGAATAGTGTTTTATTTCAAAGAAAGACATACAAGCACGCAAGACATAGGTACATAACGAAGAAGATACAAAAATGGACAGATAGCTGCTTGTGCCCCTCTGACAAAAAGGCACCCGCTCAGCATACATCATGACCGCACCAGGGCTTGTCTTGAAACTGATTTTCAGCGGGGGCCCTCTGTTGTCGGCATCTTATTCCAATGTATAAAAGAAGTGTAAGCAGGCCTCCGTCACTCGCCTATGCCGGCCGAGATAATTACCTACAGCGCGCGACAACTTGAAGTTGCAGATCAGTCAGGGCCGCCACGCGCCTGTGTACTTACACACGCGTACCTATACACGCTCGGTCGATCATCGTCGCAATCAAGGTTTATTGTTCCAACAGCACTGTTATTCTTATTTAATGGAAAATCGTAATATTTAGGAATAATAATTAACTGTAGTGATTTAAATAATTTAAAAAAGCTACACTTTGTAAATAATTATGAAATACTTATGACAAAAAAAAGGTAGCAAAAAAATTATTTAATTTCACCGTGTCTATTTTCCGACACTACACAATTAAAACTGTTTGTCCAATTTCGAAATATCGCAACACTGAAGTTTATTAATAGGTACTTTAGAGAGTACGATTATACAAACACCACTAGATTAAAGTTTACCAATCGTAAATACAATAAATGCTTCTTAAAATTAAGTTTTTATTTATTTTACTTTGCTTATACAACCCTGACGCTTGAGCTGTGAGGTATATCAACTCTGAACACAAAAAAATTGCGCTCTTGTGAGCGTAGTAGTAAGGTGCGATTTCGAATGCACCAGGTGCGTTGGATATTTTGCATTATTATTATTACCGTTAAAATGTCGGCATCTGATCCTACACAAAGGAGTGCAATTTCTGTTGCTACTATTATGTATTCTGTGGTGTAAGTGTGTAGAAGTTGACTGACTTACCTACCCTGATAAAGAAAAACAAACATAATATACCAAGCGCATTTACCTTTTCCCTCCCAGCTCCAATGTCACAGGTGTGAGATGCTTCGTGGCCGCTTCGTATACGATTTTTCCCACACCAGTGCTTCCAGTGTAAAAGATGTAGTCAAACTTCTCTTTTAGTAACACAGTCGTCTCTTCGGCGCCACCTTGCACGACCACCACGGCATCCTGTAATAATTAGTTGGTTGATAGTTGGAGATTTCATTGGTTAGTTTAGGGGTTCGTAAGCAGTACGAAAACCAATTGCACTGCGCTGAGATGAAGATGCTCAGATGGGCAGGTAATGTGACTAGGCTGGATCATGTAAGAAACACACACGAGGCACCTTCAAAGTGAGACCTGTCCCAGCTAAATTACAGGAGAGCCGTCTGCGGTGGTACGGACACGTCATGAGGCGACCACTCGACCATATGACCAGAAAAGTGCTAGACATCCAAACTAAGCCCCGCGGACGAGGAAGACCCCGAATTACATGGATGTCCGTAATCAACAACGACCTTAAAGAAGCCCAAGTTAACAATAAGACAACCCAGGACCAAGCCGCCTGGAGACGCATGACGCGGAGGGCCGACCCCAAATAAAATGGGAATGGGCCAGGCAAAGTAGTAGTTTAGGGGTTCGTTGTTAACTGGGAACTTTAAGGATTCGTGGAGTTCGTTTAACACTATTAGCAATGCCCCCAGTTAGGTAAATTTTGAGAACAATAGTTTATTTTTAGTTCATGTTTATGTAACACTAACAACAACGACTGAACATCAAGGTAAACATTTGTGTTGAGGAGTTGTAATGAAAATGAAAATGTTTTATCTATACTAATATTATAAAGCTGAAGTTATGGAATATGACGTTCAACCACCANAATAAGCCATTTTTCCTTCACGCTATCTATGTTGTTTATGCACTTCAAAAATGTTGCTGTTCACGTCACCATGTTATTCGCCAGACTAAAACATAATTTTAAAAGAATAATAGTCGCCTTTTTGCCATTCCTGGCTGAATGCACCGATTCTAAGACCAATGTAGTAACCTTTGATCCCCTGTAATAAGACTTACGCCCATATTCACAAACGATGCTTGCTTAAGTGAAGCAGAAAATCGAACGCACAGCGTTGAATAGCGCTCTGTGATTGGTTCGTGTGTCACCCTGTGCGTCCACGCGCACTGTGAGACCTCATAGTGATACGAGAGTTTGTGAATACGAGCGTTTGACATGATTCAAGTGTAGTGCTCGTACATAATGTGACCATTATTTGATATCGACTCGAACCTAAAATACATATTTCTATCGTCAGGCAGGGCAGAGTGCACAGTGCGTCATCGCCTCGAATTTGTTTGCCCGTACAGAAATAGATTTTAATCACAACGCAGCATAAACAGGTTATGGGATTTCGAAATCGTTGCATTTGTATGTTATTTTTGTGTTTTATTATAATCCTTACACGAAGGTTCTAGAAAAGTACCTGTCTTTGAAATGAGAAACATTGTATCGATCTTAATAGCCTGTTTTCTTGGACAGCTAAAGATTTTTCATTTGTAATGCTATTAATTTGACGATAGTAGAGCTACTAATGTCTTAATAATGCTTCCATGATGCTCGTATAAGCAAAGGCCAGACCCAAAAACAGCGTATAAGTATAAGCCTACTGGCCCGTTCATCTTGCTTCATAAGTTCATATACTTATCTAGGAGGCTTATCTTACAGATAGCGTAATCCGTGCCACTGTGATTAATTTTAATGTCAACATAATTTTTCCATCAGACATTTGTATAGCAACAACATAAAAGGATATATTTTGATTTACATTTCAGTGCCCACCTAGACAAGTGGCAAAACGTTTCGGAATGCCATCGCTTCGCTCTGGCGTTTTGCCACTAGGGAGGCTGTAGCTAAATTCAACAAAAAAGAGTTCTTTTTTGATTGATTAAAAATAAGGTCTATACTAAAAACATAAAAGGCCAAAAATTTTAAGTTATGAAGCGTAAAATCTCACCTAAAATGCCTGTTGTTGATGATGCGGCAAAGGTCCGGCGACTTCTGAGGGTCCTCACCGTACCAGGACTTCAGGACCTTCTTGGAGGCTTCCACAAACTTGTCCTGGATCTCTTTGCTGCAGAGGATGTAGTCTGGCGCGATGCATGTCTGGCCCATGTTGATGAACTTGCCCCATAGTATACGCTTGGCAGTCACTTCCAAGTCGGCTGAGCTATCTATGTATACAGGGCTGTGGAAGAAGATAAGAATTCAAGGGACTGTTGTATAAAAAATCAAATTCGAATCTGTTAAAAAAGGCATCCAATTAAAACTAAGAGCTAATTGAAATGGCTGAAATGATATTGATAAAACAAATCTAAGAGCCATTGCTAGAAAAACGTAAAAAACAGCATCTAAATCGGATCATTCGTTTAAGAGCTACGGTACACATAACACACACATAGCATTCAATCATTATTGTAACTCTTTTTTCGTCAGGGGTCAAAACAACAAATTCTCCAAAGTAGCACACTGATGGAGAAAATCATACATTATTTTACGATTTAGAATCTTAATAAGTTGAGTGGAGTTACCTTTTCCCTCCCAGCTCCAGAGTCACTGGTGTGAGATGCTTGGTGGCCGCTTCGTATACGATCTTTCCCACACCAGTGCTTCCAGTGTAAAAGATGTAGTCGAACTTCTCTTTTAGTAACACAGTCGTCTCTTCGGCACCACCTTGCACGACCACCACGGCATCCTGTAATAATTAGTTGGTTGATAGTTGGAGATTTCATTGGTTAGTTTAGGGGTTCGTAAGCAGTACGAAAACCAATTGCACTGCGCTGAGATGAAGATGCTCAGATGGGCAGGTGATGTAACTAGGCTAGACCATGTAAGAAACACACACGAGGCACCTTCAAAGTGAGACCTATCCCAACTAAAATACAGGAGAGCCGTCTGCGGTGGTACGGACACGTCATGAGGCGACCACTCGACCATATGACCAGAAAAGTGCTAGACATCCAAACTAAGCCCCGCGGACGAGGAAGACCCCGAATTACATGGATGTTCGTAATCAACAACGACCTTAAAGAAGCCCAAGTTAACAGTAAGACAACCCAGGACCAAGCCGCCTGGACGCAAGACGCGGAGGGCCGACCCCAAATAAAATGGGAATGGGCCAGGCAAAGTAGTAGATTAGTGGTTCGTTGTCAACTGGGAACTTTAAGCAAGGATTCGTAGAGTTCGTTTAACACTATTAGCAGAGCCCCCAGTTAAATACAGTGTGAGTCACGTTAAAGTGTACATATGAAAATAGATGAAACTAGACCTATTTTTATCGACAAAAAAGAGGTCAAAAATTTTTTGAGATTTTTTTTTAATTTTTTATAGAATTTTTTTTCTTCCAATTACTTATTGTAAAGAAAACGTAATAACTTTTAAACTAAACGGTATATCCTGATAAAATAAAAACAGTAATAATGCTAAATAACAGGCGATACTAAAAAAATACATAAAATACACAAAAAAGGCCAACAAATAATAAAAAATGATACTTTTTGAAAAAAATCTGCTTTTAAATTCGTGTTTTTTTGGTTATTTGATAAATTTCTCCAAAAAATGCCCCTATAACAGGTGGTTTTTATTACTTTGTATTATTCTCCATCGTATTATCTTTGTAAAACCAAAAATCGCATGTCTCTATCCCTATCACAACATTTGCTATGAGCGTTTGAACAAAGGCCTACCACAACATTATTCTCCGCCTGCAGGTAGAGAAAATTTTAATTTTAACTAAAATGCTTATTTTACTTCGAAATCTTTTGTTTTTATTTAAATTTAACTTGTCTTTATCTAAATTACAAATCTAGAGCCATTTTCAGTTTCGTTGTTAACGAAGCGTTGAATAGCACGCTCGGAGAGGCTTAGTTCAAACGATCATTGCAAATGTTGTGATAGGGATAGAGACATGCGATTTTTGGTTTCACGACGGTAATACAATAGAGAATAATACAAAGTAGTAAAAACTACCGGTTATAGAAGCATTTTTTGGAGAAATTTATCAAATAACCAAAAAAACACGAATTTAAAAGCAGTTTTTTTTTCAAAAAGTATCATTTTTTATTATTGTTGGCCTTTTTTGTGTATTTTATGTATTTTTTTAGTATCGCCTGCTATTTAGCATTATTACTGTTTTTATTTTATCAGGATATACCGCTTAGTTTAAAAGTTATTACGTTTTCTTTACTATAAGTAATTGGAAGAAAAAAAATTCTATAAAAAATTAAAAAAAAATGTCAAAAAATTTTTGACCTCTTTTTTGTCGATAAAAATAGGTTTAGTTTCATCTATTTTCATATGTACACTTTAACGTGACTCACACTGTATATGAGAATAACGACTAACAACAACGACTGAACATCAAGGTAAACATTTGTGTTGAGGAGTTGTAATAGGTGTTAGTTTTCTACAAAAGTGTCTGATGTGTTGGTGACTAAATTTCGTAGGTATTATTATCTTGTAAACACATACCTACAATTTCTACGTCAACTAAAGGAATAATAATAAACTAAACAATTACTTATGCAGAGAATTGAGCTTGTGTCATGGGTGACGATTTTAAAATAATAAAACAATAATAAAAATTATTTACTTATTGCAACTTAAACTCGTAAATTGTAAGTTAAAAGTTAATTGCTAATGATTCTATTATGATATGATTTTGATTCTAACTTCATTGGATTCGTTTAAACGCAAATCGCCCATGTAGGTAATTGTAGGGAAAAATTATGTTCATCACCTTGACTCATGGCATTGTCGGTGTTTCAATGTTATCTAGTACTTAATCATTAAACTATACACGTGTATAGTAACGTAGATATTTAGAGTAGGCGCATACCGTTGATTTTTCGTCGGCCGATAGTTTAGCCGGGCAGTTGCTCAGTATGGGCATGTATGGAAGTGCGCACACTACGCCGATTCGATTTGGCCGATTCTTCATACAATTTAAAATCGGGCACAACTATCGGCCAACTAAAAATCAACGGTGTGCGCCTACTCTTAAGGTAAAATTATTAGATACTTTTTCTGGCGGTTGATCATCATTATTTAAATGTAAATTTGTTTCTGTATATTTAAATATCAATTTCGGTTTTAAGATCAGGTTAATTATGCAGACATAATTGATTATTGATGTTCATGCACATTAAACAAACAAAACGGTAAACATAGTCAAGAGAAACGAGCAATAATTGTACCTACTTTATAATGTAATCTAAATTTTGCTTAAAATTTTAGAATATGAGTAACATTTAGCCCAAAGAAGATTCTAATTAAATTGACTGTTATAAATTGATTATATCACGTAAAAATCTAGAACTAGATAATGATTACGAAACGCATCGTAACGCGTCATACTGATTTGGTGTGTTGCTATAAAACCAGTTTTGTTTAGTTTCCACTTGTACTTTGTACCCTATGAGCATGCCATAAAAAGCATAAAAACAAAATATTAGTAGGGTAAGTGCGCTAGTTTTCGTCCAATTATCGGAGTTGCCAACTTTGTGATGCGAAATGAATATCGTCCTAGTGTACGCTAGTTTTCGACCACTGTGTAAAAGAAAGGGTGCAGTTGAATTATTAACTTAAAACCAATTCTACAATACAGTAACTATGGATTGTGGTATATCATTTGAAAGGTAATTTTGTTAGCTTTCAAATGATATCAAAAATATTTAAATAAGTTTCTTACCTAAATTTAGGAAAATATTTCAATAGGTCGAAGGACAAATGGACGAAAACTAATTAATCTACAGGAATAGCTTGTTTTGGTTTTCGTCCACCCCAGTGCTTGCTCATGACGTCATGGACGAAAACACAACAACGTTCAAAGCTGTTTTTTGTTTTCGTCCACATCTTTTTAACGGATTTTATGGGTTCATCACAGTTAAAAAGTGGACGTAAACTAAAAAGTTTAATGTAATAGCAATAAAGATCACATTGGAAGAAAAAACATTGTATTTTGTAGGTTCATTGAAGTAAAATGATTAATTAAATTATTAACTAGGTGTCAGGGTTTCCGTCCACGTGGACGAAAACCAAAATCTTGCAAAATTGTTATGTTACTATTAGTCCACTTAATTATTTAAGATTACTATACAAAAACATTAATAAACCCTTAAAATTGTGTTTATTATGCTAATAATTAGACATACGTGCCAAAAACATTACGTAAAGTAGGTAAAACAGTAATTAAACATACCATGAAAGTTCCCTACCGGCACGTTTTTTTTCTAACTTGACGACGTTTTCCATTCACCTGTGTGCAGCAACAACTAACGTATATTTTTTTGGAGTTATTTCTTGTCAAATAACATTTTCATGCAGGCAGAACTGTTACTTAGATATTATAGATTGTAACAAGTCCAAACTCGCACGGAAAGTTAGGTTTGTATTCTAATTTTCCGTATTTGTTTGTGGCAAGTCGGTCAAATATACGAAAACAGGAGCTAGACGGAAAACCGGAGCAATTACCCTATCTACAACTACATACTGTAGGTAAATGTAGATAGTTTACCTATTAACTACAAATGATATTAACACGTAAATCAATATTAAAATGCCTGATAATGTTCTGTATCATTAATGTGACATGTATATTGTAGTTAGTAGAGGCAGTAGAGGCCTGTGTCCTTCACTCAAATTGACTTAAGCTAATGGCTAAACGATCGAGCCTTTTTGTAGACATTATGATGATTTTCCTATGTAATTAATAGTACCTACCTAGGCATGATTATATGACCAAAACTTATATTCTTTACACATTTAATTTTACTTGTAATCGTTTATCATTATAAGTAATTCATTTAGATAACTTCGCTCGCGATGGTGATACAACAAATAATTTATTGGATTAAAGTTTGAGAGATAAACAATCTCAGGGCAAAGTATCATTTTTCAGTTTGTCTATCAATGACTTAGAAAGAAGTCATAAACAAACAAATTGTCCAAGTATTAGGCACTATCTCAGCGACGAATTGGGCGCAAGATTTGGCCAGCTCAATAGGCTTGATCACCACTGCGTTACCAGCGGCTATGTCGCTATTCATTGGCATCAACAATAGCTGCAGATTGTAGTTCTACACACCAATCACCAGAAGAACATTAGACTTACATTGTCCAAGTATTTAGGCACCATCTCAGCAACAAATCTGGCGCAAGACTCGGCCACTTCACTGGGTTTGATGACCACTGCGTTGCCGGCGGCTATGGCGCCAGCCATTGGCAGCAACAACAGCTGCAGAGGGTAGTTCCATGCGCCGATAATCAGGGCCACGCCATATGGGTCGTTGTAGATCACTACTTCGTCCAGTATGTTCACCAGGCCTTTTGATGGCTAAAATAGAAGATAGGGTTTTAAACTGTTGAAATGGCATGTAAATGGCGACAGTAAAATTAAAATTATCTATCAAATAAATGACCAAACAACAATACAGATTTCGGTGATGGCTTTGACCAAATATGATTGGAGGGTTTCCTAAATCAATTTAGAAGGCGAGCTCCCAAAAGATATAAAATTTACTGTTCTGTCACTAATTAGGTTTACAGCGTTTTAATTGAGTTATAATACTACTCACTCTCTCAGGTTTGACCCATTCATCCAAGCTATGCAGCGTGTTCGTCAAGTCATTGATGAGATAGTCGACCTCCAACAGCACGGCTTCCATCTTGCTCCTCCGCAGGTCCTCCCTGAGGGCATCGATCATGGCCTGCTGGTTCTCCTTGTACATTCGCATCAGGCTCTCCAGTTGCTGTCGCCTCCATTCTACGGGTTTTGTGACGCCTCTGTTGAAAGCGTCGCGGGCTCGCTGCACGGACTGAAGAGGAATATCTGGGTTACTTGAGACGATTATAGTATTATTACCCTACGTAAATAATGAATCAGAAATGAGGAGATGGAACACCAAAGCCCTTTTGGCCAGCTTAAGTGGCAATGCTCGTAAAGCAGATGGTCAGAAAAGTTGGGGTAGAAAAGTTCTCGCGTGGCGACCACGGGCCGGAAGATACGTAGTGTGGACAGGCCTCCCACTAGCTAGGTGAAATGACGATCTGGTGAGGGTCGCGGGAAGCACCTGAATGCGTGAGACCGGTCGTTGTGGAAATACTTGGATACGGCCTTTGTCCAGAAGTGGACGTCATTTAGCTGAAACGAACGAGTGTAGGTAAATAGGTAGACCTATTTTATGTAGATCTTAGGAGAGAGGACATGGCAAAAATGATAAACTTATACTTAGTTATAGGGGCGGCGACGTACCTACCTATGTATTTTATACAAAGAACAGCAACAACCATTTAGACTAAAATACATGTTAGCTCCTAGTAACACAAAGAACAGAAATGGCTAAATGCATGTTCGCTGCCGGTCAAGGTCTCGCCCGCGGCGGAGCGCCGGTTCATCTAACTCGCTCATCACTAACACGTGTGTTGAAAAAAACATTCACGCTATTTTAGTTTTCTTGAATTTGGTGCATTTCTAGATGATAAAGCATTCAATGACGTGATGTAGGTCAGCGGTTCCCGAATGGTGGTCCGCGGAACCCTGGGGTTCCGTGGAAAGGCCGCAAGGGTTCCGTAAAAAATATTATCCCACGTTTCGTGACCGACGTTGTTCGCTCGCACCGACTTGTTTACGCACAAGGGAGGAGCATGGCGTGCGGGCGGAGTAGTACGGGGGTTCCGCTAGGAAAAGTATAATCAATTAGGGTTCCTTGGCAAAAAAAATTTGGGAACCCCTGATGTAGGTACCTATTCAGCGAAAAATGTTCAATCAGAAAAACACATATGTCTATATCTATAGGAAGGAATATTGGATATAGCAAAAAGAAAAAAAAAACAAAAAAGAGAAATTATATGATTCCATTTTTTTAAACACATTGTTCTAGCAAGGAATTCAACCCTAAAGCTAGAAAAAAATACACATCCTGTAATTATTATGTTTGATCCAAAAATGTGACATTTCAACAGTAAATTCTACAAAGTATGTAATACACTAGGTTATGAAGACATACTGCTATACTATACTAGTTACTAAGCTACTAATTTCACTCACCTCAGCAACATTAGCTGATTTGCCCTTCAATTCAGAAATATTTCCTGGAACAAACAAACATTTACTCAACACAAATAAGACCCATTAATATTCAAGAGATAATAACATGTTATCAAGTCTGTACTGTGGTGAATGACCGACCTCTATGAAATTGGAAGTATTCATTGACCTGATTCCAAATTGTCTAGTAATTCTTATGTTTATTGTGACTATGATTTTGTTCAATATTTAATTACACCAATTTGAAGCTTAAGAACATTTTGCTAGCAATCAATTTTATTAATTCTGCTCCAAATACTGTAGTTTTAGCACTTACTTCATGATCTGTTAGTATAGTTGTTGCAATTATCCACGAAGGCAAGTGAGCTTTACATGTGTGGCTAGCTACTGTTTGTTTTTCAAAGTTTTGACAGCCATTACACTATCGTTATGTGCATGTACTAGTACACACACAAGTAAAGCTAACTTGCCTTCGTGACTTGCAAGAACTATACAGGATTGATTACAGGACGAAAACCAGGAATAATTGATAGCATAGGAGTGATATAATCCACCAGTTCACCACTTTCGAATTTAATCCATAAACAATTATGTAATTTACAAAACCGGTTCCTTTACCTACCTGCTCAAATCCTCGACAACATTAGATAATTTAACCAGACAAATATTGTACAAAAACCTTAAAATATAAGCTAAAAGTCTACAATTCTTTGACATAAGTTTAGTCCTAAGAATCAGTCTTGAGTTGACTGTGAGTTGTTGATGTTTTGTTGTATTTATCCTTATAGAAACTTACCCAAAACCATTGCGAAACTTTTAGATTACGGAGTAAAGAGCCGTGTCTGAGTTTTATTACGGAATCAGCCTATATTAAATTACAACAACACCGCACTGGAATGACGTAAAATAACAAACCGCTAATAAGCAATTTACGATTAATTATCGCAAAGGCGTAATAATTAAAAAATATGACTGCACACTACAAGCATTGCCGATTCAATAGAATACAGCATAGAGAAAAGTAATACATATGGAATACAGACAGAAACAGAAAGCAAAGCAAGTTTTTGCTTTGCTTGTCTGTCATCAGTCATGTTGACAGCCAGCTGTTTTCCTTCTGTCTTTTTTTTTTAATACAGATTACAAATCTACTAGAGTTGTGCTCGAAATACTAGTTAATATCACTGCATAGAGACCAAAAATAATTAAATGACACATTCCCTTGTTCTGAAAAAAGGGGATTTCTGAAGCTTACGAAGCTCTTTCTGTATCTGTATTTAATAATATCGTACGAATCGGCATATAGATGACCCACGCGTCTGTCCCACCAAACTCAATGACAGGGGGGCGCTACCATCGTTCAACTATATGGTTTCCAACATGGCAAAAATATGAACCAGCGATCCAGTATTGACGGTGGCGCCCCACTGTCAATGTCATCGACAGGACAGTCTGTACCTCTAGTAGGAAAAACTTTCGAGTTCGTTTCGTTGCGTATTCAAAGTGTCATCGAAAAATTTTGTATGAAAAATTAAACAGCGCCCCCTATATTATAGCCGCCCTAGGGGGCGCTGTTTAATTTTTCATACAAAATTTTTCGATGACACTTTGAATACGCAACGAAACGAACTCGAAAGTTTTTCGTACTAGAGGTACAGTATTTTGGAACTATAAATAAAATACGGTGAGAATGACGTTGTATTAGGGTGCCCACCAACCGGCACCAAAACGTCATTTATCTTACTCGACTATTAAATAGATTATAATACCACTTCAATCAATTTCTAAAGAATTTATATTAATGAGCATTGAAATAGGTTGTAGGTAGGTAAGAGGAAAACTTAGCAGCTATAAGGTCATTGTCTCTAAAATAAATTTTTGAGAAAAACAGAAGCTAAAAACTCGCTGCTAGAAATAGTGACATCTACTGGAATCTTGAAGTATTACAATCCAACAACTATTGTGGTTCTGAATTCAATAATCTTCTTGGTCATGTAATTTTATTTTAGGTAGGCTTTAAAGTGGGTCCAAGCCCAAGGTTCGGTTCCTGGTTCGGTCAAAATAAAATAAAAAAATACGATGTAGTTGTATGACTTGTATGACATCCTACATAATATTCTATAAGTTGACTGGCACCTAAAAGACGTAATATTTGCAAAAGTTAAGGTTAAATAAACATTAATGTCCCTGTAATCTGATGATGCGATAATTTATTAAATTTTGTCATTATGCAGCCGTGTTCAAATATCGATGTGAGGAACTGAGGACCGTGAAACCGTTAGTGTTCTTTGTATTTACATACTTACAGTCATATTTATTCAAAAAGCTTTGAATATAGGCACTGTTTCTTGATATGTGTATGTGTTATTAATGACTAGCTTTCCGCCCGCGGCTTCGCACGCGTGAAATTTCGTTTGTCACAGATCGTCATAAATTATAGCCTATATGTTATTCTGGATTATGAACAATAATACTGTAAAGTTTCATCAAAATCTGTTCAGTGGTTTTTGAGCCTAGTACAAACATACAAAAGTACAAATCTTTCCTCTTTATAATATTAGTATAGATATAAATTTAACTGTTCCATCATAAGTTTAAACTGTATGTTTAAATTAATAAAAATAATGGTATGCAGACATTACCGCTATGACAGTTCTTCCCAGATTGAGGTAGAGATCGCTTTTTAGCGATAAGACCGCTCCAATTGGGTTTTTCTTTTCCTTGTTTTTACGTTACATTACATTTCAATATAACTTTTTCTCTTGGGGGAGGCCTTTGTCCAGCAGTGGACGTCTTTCGGCTGAAACGAACGAACGAACGAACGAATAACTTTTTCTCAGTTTAGTGTACCTACATATGTATTTTTGGTTTTTGATCTATCTATCACTTAGAAAATAGAAATAAAAAGCAACATATAATTTTCCTTTGACGTAGAACTGCAATTGCATATCGATTGATAGAGCCACGCTGTTATTAAGCTGTCAGCCAGCTATACAGGGTGGCCAAAACAGTAAGGTCTAAAAGAAAAATTTAGATTCCTTAAATCAAGGTGTACCTAAATCACCCCCATGTGTATAATACGATTGTGCTTGGTTTAGGAGATACAGTTAATTTTGTGATATTTTAAAATTTTATGACCGAGTAGGCTTTAAACATTTTTATCTTTTTTTTGGGTTGACTTTTTTCAGATTTCTTTTTTTCGACAGATGTGTTATGAATTGCAGATGTTTGAAAAAAATAATCACCTTCCTATCTTTGATTCAAGATACAAAAGTTTTGCTAGAAATATTAAAATTATGCTTTTATCAGAACACTATCAAATTTTCAACTTAAAAGTTTAAGTGAAAAAAAGAACTTCCATAGGTTCAAAACCATTTTAAAAACTGCGCCGTTTCCTGAACATTCATAATAATACAAAAAAACATGTACTTAATGGGCCACTATTTCCTGTAATCGGTCCACTAAAGTGGTAAGTCGGAGATTCCGTTACATGTTTTTGACTTTCTTAGAGTGAATTAATATTGGGAATCCTCTAAGTTTACATTACGTAGAACAGATTTAGAGCAGTAACTGGACAGAACATGTTTTTATTCTCAACGAGGAAGCTCTTGCCCTTCATCACACCTGGTGGAAACTGATGATTAGGCTGAAGGTGGAAGGGAACTTCAACTACAGAGGAACTATGGCTTCCTACCTCCAAATGCCGGAATACAGTAATGCTTTTAACATTATTGTTATAGTGACAGACTTAGGAAAATAGAGTTGCTAGCCAGGCAGACTTAGATCAAACCCTACCACCAACCAAACCGAGCAGAAAATTTCACCTCCACTGGGAATCAAACCCGGGACCTCTGAAGCTTACCTCTTACCACTTGAAGACAGAGGCAGTTGTTACATTTTACTATTACCCTTGAAATACCTACTACAGTGAGAAGAAGAAGGAGGAATATTTGGTTTATGTTCATCAAAACTTACTTAAAATAACAATGTGTTCCGGAATTTGGAGGTAGGAAGCCATAGTTCCTTTGTAGTTGAAGTTCCCTTCCACCTTCAGCATAATCATCAGTTTCCACCAGGTGTGATGAAGGGCAAGAGTTTCCTCGTTGAGAATAAAAACATGTTCTGTCCAGTTACAGCTTTAAATCTGTTCTACGTAATGTAAACTTAGAGGATTCCCAATATTAATTCACTCTAAGAAAGTCAAAAACATGTAACGGAATCTCCGACTTACCACTTTAGTGGACCGATTACAGGAAAAAGTGGCCCATTAAGTACAAGTTTTTTTGTATTATTATGAATTTTCAGGAAACGGCGCAGTTTTTAAAATCGTTTTGGACCTATGGAAGTTCTTTTTTTTACTTAAACTTTTAAGTTGAAAATTTGATAGTGTTCTGATAAAAGCATAATTTTAATGTTTCTAGCAAAACTTTTGTATCTTAAATCAAAGATAGGAAGGTAATTATTTTTTTAAAACATCTGCAATTAATAACAAATCTGTCGAAAAAAAGAAATCTGAAAAAAGTCAACCCAAAAAAAAGATAAAAATGTTTAAAGCCTACTAGGTCATAAAATTTTAAAATATCACAAAATTAACTCTATCTCCTAAACTAAGCACAATCGTATTATATACATGGGGGTGATTTAGGTACACCTTGATGTAAGGAATCTAAATTTTTCTTTTAGACCTCACTGTTTTGGCCACCCTGTATAATCACTTTGAACTTTTAAGCTCCTCCTATTTTATCAATCAATTGCTACCGACATGTTCTAGAACATTTTTATTTATTATTTATAATGTTTTTTATAAGTTTTTTTATTACCTGTCAATACTTAAGCTCGCTTATGTTGTTTTTTGACCTTCATGTTAATTACTTGTTCAGTTACGTATATTCGTTCCTAATGATTGTGCTCAATTAGTAGAGTAATCTATGGATAGATATGGCCAAACAAAGTGGGCAAGAGGTAGTTCATAAGTAAAGACATAAAAATGGGTCATGAAACAATAAACTTCCACGAACAAGCCTCTAAATATGTAATTATAGAAAAAATACTTGTATAATTTTTTGAAGGGTAGGTAAGTAGTTCATATTAGTTGAATTCAATGTACCATAGCTATCTATTTATTTATTTATTGTAGTTGGTACATAATGGAATTGGGCATTCTCTGCCAGCTAAGTAACCTTTGGGCTAAGCAGGAAGCAAAATCCTACTTAATTAACGATTTACCTATAAGTAGTCATAAAAATGCACGTCCAGAAGGTAGGTACGATACTATTATTTCATGAAACCACAATAAAGAATCAAATTTTAATATACTGAAATCTTGACTTTTATTGTTATTAAGAAGTTGAAACGATGATTACCATTTTTACCCGACTGCGCCAGAAGGAGGGTTATGTTTTTCGAGTGTATGTATGTATTTGTCAACAATTTTTAGTATGATTTTACAGAACCTTCTACTTACATAAAATTTTTAATTATGTTCTATGATAAAAACTACGTACCTACTATAAAATATGTAAATTAAGTTTAAAGGCAATGTTCCATTGTTAATTAAACAACCGATTATGTAAGTGTGACATATTTGCACTGTCAACAATGGAAGCAACGTTGTTTCGATCCAAACGCCGGCAACGAGCGCAGTGTTTTATAACTTACTAGCTACTTACTGACACAATATCATTAATACCACGTCACTACAATAACTATAAACACTTGCACAATTAATTAATTACCTTTATCCATATCTGTATCGATATCCAGAACGGTATCTTTGACACAATCGATAACCGGCTCGATTGTTAGTACGTGATCCTTCGGTGCGCTCGCGCAAGTGTGGTCTGCGTCTTGCAGAGCCGGCGGGCTCATGTTTACTGAACGATACTATGCTGAATGCTGTGTGTTCACGAGGTGTTTTGTGAAGCAAATAATTATTTTGAAAAACTTAGACTAAGACACAAGCTGTCCAGAAGCTAGAGCAATGTATTGAATAAATTATGATAAAAATCAA